GGTCAGCTGCTCACTCAGAACGATGCCAATCGGGAATAGTCTTAAAGGTACCCTTCAGGTGTTTGTTTCAGAAAAAAAGACTTATTCAAAGCGTTTGCTTTCTGATGGTTTTTAAAACTTTTTATTTTTCACCTACAGCTTTTATTTAATAATGTTTTGTATTAGTTTCAGTGTACAGCATAATGCTTTGACAATCATATACTTTATGAAGTGGTCCCTCTAATATTTCTTTTTTTTTTTTTTTAAATTTTATTGATTTTTTACAGAGAGGAAGGGAGAGTGATAGAGAGAAACATCGATCAGCTGCCTCCTGCACATCCCCCATTGGGGATGTGCCTGCAACCAAGGTACATGCCCTTGACTGGAATCGAACCTGGGACCCTTCAGTCCGCAGGCCAACGCTCCATCCACTGAGCCAAACCGGTCAGGGCCCCTCTAATATTTCTAGTACCCAACTGGCACTGTACATAGTTACGGCAATATTATTATTACTCCCTATGCTGTACTTCTGGTATGTTTTTTACATGAAATCTAGTTTAATATTGCAGACATCTTTAGTATTTCTTCAGAGAGATGGTAATTTTTTCCAAGAAATACACGAAGAATTGTGTATAAAAGTTTAGAACACTAGGTACGCAGCAAGTGAACTAAGGACCGGGTGCCCGCGGTTTGGAGTAGATTTGGTGGAACTAGACCTGTTGGCTGAGGGGACCTGCTCCGGGTGGAGCTGCCCTGAGCCTGGTCCATCGAAGGGAACCGAGGGCCTCAGGTGGCAGCCTGAGCAGAGCGCGGGCGGAGCCGGTGCCTCCTGCCCTCCTCGCTGCTGTAGCGTCCCAAGCAGCTCTGCCCACAGCCTCTAAAAGCTCGTCTTGGTGTTTACCTGACAGATGGCCATTTGGGGATGAGATCTACTTGGACCGCCAGCAAGGCAGCCAGCCTGCTGTTAGCAGCAGCAGTGCAGGGGAGACTCACTAGAGCAAGTGGAGCGCGCCCAGGCCCGTTTGTGATAGAAGGGAGGCCTGCTGATGTCCAGCCAGTGTGATCACTAATATGAAGGCCGAGAGGGATGCGCTTTTAGGAGAATCAGAGTGGCGTTAACCGTTTTTAAAAGCAGGTGTTAAATGGAATAATGTTGAATGTTTACAGGGTCTGAGAACTACCATATATACACAATAAACACTTATTTTTATATTACCCCGGTTGGTATGCCTATCTTTGCTCATTCAATATTCTTATAAAGACCCATGAAACTCTTGTGCACTTTTTAAAACGAGGCAACTCTAGGACATTATATCCCGTATAGAACATGTACACTATAATACAATCCAGGGGTTACCTGAGTACTTTTGCTAAAACTTCTGACAAGAATGTGTTGTAAACCCCCCCCCCCCAACCCCCCAGTGCTTAATGTAATTTTCCGATTGTGTAACTTTTTTTATTTTTTTAAACCGTGGCCATTTGGAGTAGTTCTCACTGTTTGCCGATCAGAACCGCCTGGAGGACTTTTAGAAAGAGCCCCGGATCCCGACGTGCAGCCAGCAGCACCCAGAGGTGAATGCGTTCCGTGTGCTCCGGGGTGGCGTTCACCTGGCACTTCGAGTCGGGGTCAGGCTCTGCTCTGTCCTTTCTCGTTTTGCTGACCTTTCTTACGTCGTGTCCTGTGACGTGTTACTTGTCCTTGTGAACACCTTCCCACTTCTGGGAAGAGGCTTAAGGACAAGTGAGGTCCTAACCTACGTCTTTCAGAATGAAATCTTACGAGTTTTTATCTGTTTTCTGTTTTTGTGACATGACCACATAGTTGCTTTTTAACTTTAGGTCCTAAAAAGTTTCACAGCAGTACTTTGCAATAAATACAATTTTGAACCATGCATACATCCATGTCTGTACCTACATGGATGTATATGGTCACGTGCCACGTAAGGATGATTTACAACAGACCACTCACACAGCGGTGGCCCCATAAGATTATGATGGAGCTGAAAATCCTATTGCCTGTGACATCACGGCCATTCTGACATCACAGCGCACCCAGCTGCTCCGTGCGCCATCCAGGTCAGTGTACGCGTTGTCGGCAGTGCTCGCCTCCTGGGGCATTTCTCAGGAACTCTTCCCGTCGGTAAGTGGGACATGCCGGTATTTTTTTTTAATTAAACAAAGAGCCCAAAACAAGCTAAAAGAAGTTTATTTCTTAAGAGTCTCATTTATAATGGCTTTGGCCCAAAAATATATTGAAAATAGATTTTGTTAGAGGGGGGAAACCTAGATTTTTTATGGGACTATTTTATATAACTACACATTGGTTGAGCACATTTTTTCTAGACAACATATTTTCTCTTTATATGTTAAGTATAAAAAAGCCATTGTCAATGGAGCGCTTAAAAATACGATCTCAGAAAGGGGACTAGAGTCGTCGGGGTTCGTCTAACTTTCTACTTGACGCACCGAGGCCACGAGCTGCCGGAGGACAGTCCCAGGCAGGAACACGGAAGCTGGGGAAGCACCTTCTCGGCCGCGTCCACAAAGCACGTGAGTGTCCGTGTGCACACGCTGCACGGTACATGCCAAGTGTGTGCGCCGCCCTCAGCCTGCACGCTGTTACATGCCGTAACTCCTGCTTTCCAGGAAAGAGAAGTAGGTGCAGTTCCTGAACAGCGTTCTGAAGGGACACAGGGTCACTTTAAAAAATACGTCTATAGGAACTAGTGGCTTATTTTCTTCCTGAATTTTTAAATTCCAACAGAGCATCACTTTGCAAGCAGCCCTTCGGCCCAAATGTAGTGTCTCTGTTTTGATCTCTTTGTAAAAGAACTCTCTGTTCATCCATCCTTTTCGCCTGAGACCGTAAAATAAGGCTAAAAAAGTCCTCGTCTGGTACCGTCGGCCCCTTTGTGGCAGCGGGGGGAGGAGCACATCTCTGGTCGTCTAGTCTGGACCCCTGAAAGCAAGGAGAGCGATTAACACCCAAGTCGTGCAGGAAGGAGAGCATGTCTCTCTCACCAGGAAATGCAGCTGAAACACTGCCCTCCGCCTCTCCTTAGAAACGCGCTTCATCTTTAGACCTGAAACCTAGTAGTTTTTTCTTTTAAAGGCTTGTACCAAGTGTCACTTTGGTGAGATGGAGACACAGGTTGTAATCTTCCCACAACAGGCAGGGACAAGCGCGGCTCACCAGGGCCTCAAATCCTTCCCCGGGACCCCGCCCGCCACACACACCCGGGTCCCCCCTCTTCTCTCCGTCACCCAACACTCAGGCACCTCAGACCCTAGGCCTCAGCCATCAGCGCCCACGGTCATAGGCCAGACTGTCATCAACAATTGCACCATCTTTAAAATTGGGATTTCGCGCATCCCAGGCTGGCCACTGCCCGTTTTTCCAAACCGTCCTCTCTAGTACTCCAGTAACTTTTTTTAAATTGTGCCAAACATAAAATGTACCATTTTAACCATATTTATATGAACAGTTTAGTGGCATTAAGTTCACTCATGTGCAACCATCACAACAGTTTTCACCCTGCAAAACAGAAACTTGAACACTTTTAAACAGTAACTCCCAGCCCCTGCAGCCCCAGTGCACTTTCTGCCTCTGAGTGTGACTACTCTCAGTACCTCATGAGCAAAACCGCACCGTGTTTGTCCTTTTGTGACCACTTATCCCGCAGCATGTCTTTAAGGTTCATACATCTTACAGCACGTGTCAGGGTCGCCTCCCTAACGCGGGAAAATGCCCCATTCTGTCTATCACCACGTTTTATCCATTTATGGTGGGCAACTCATGTTCCTGCGGGTGTCCATTCTGAAGTAGGTTGTTGGGTCATATGGTAATTCTATTTTTAATTTCTTGAACTGCCATACTGTTGCCAACAGCAGCTGCACCATTTTACATTCTCTCACCTGCCGGGCACAAGGGTTCCAGTTTCTCCACATCCTTACCAGCATGTGTTCTGGCTTTTTCGGTAGTTGCCATACTAATGGTGTGAGGCAATATCT